CAAAAATAAACCCCCTCGTCTGAATTATTGTAAGCTCATTACACATAATGATCTTGATTGGACACTAGTAACTAGTGTGATGTGTCTGGCTAGTCCTTTGTTTGGTGCAAACTGAATTCTATCAGTCAGGTTTGCAATGTGGCCACCATTCTAGGTAGCTCGCCATCACTGTGCACATTGATTTGATGATATTAGACAGCTGGAGGCAATCGGCAGGAAGCCTTGCGACCTAAGTTTCGTGCTAGTTGGCACTCGTCAGCAAGGCGGCGTATCTGCACCCTTGAAGGAACTCATGTCCCTTCTGAGATTCGAACCCGCGTCACCAAGTGGCGCCTACAGTCAAAGACCTTACCAGTGCAGCACTGGGTGACGCGGGTTCGAATCTCAGAAGGGACATGAGTTCCTTCAAGGTTGCAGATACGCCGCCTTGCTGACGAGTGCCAACTAGCACGAAACCTAGGTCTTGGCAAAGCTTCCTGTCGATTGCCTCCAGCTATCTAATACATATTGATCTGTTGATCACTTCAAAATACCGTCTTCTACAAAAAAATAACCCCCTCCCCCCGCCTGTCTGAATTATTGTAAGCGCACTACACATATTGATCTGTTGATACCCTTTTTATTTACGCCACATAATGTAACGCAACTAAAGATTGAGGCAGATAAAACTTCACAAAAACGATGTAATATTCATGTTATTCGGGCATTAAATCTTATCAATGATAATTTTTGTATACTGTTTTGTTTTTCTATACCATTTTATGTTTATCCCCGTAATGTTGCATAATTTTTAAAAATGAATTATATATATATGTAATCCATTTTTGCATCGATTACGTAATAAACTGTTTAATGGGGTTGCTTTTATTGCAGTAACGTATTCACTGTTTTTTTTTCTTTACTCGGGTTTTACCAATATACATTAGCATTATTCTATTTTTATTTTTTTTAACTATTTGGCATAAATGTAAATGCAAAACATTTGAAAAAGCAAAATTCTCAGTACTGCTACATATTCTCTCGGTTTAACAGTATATATGTAGTGGGAAACGGTAAACAGCACAGTTATGTTTTTACGAGTTGATCACGGATTGATATCAGTTAGAGAACCATTGAAAACCAGTCACAGGGAGTACTGGACAGCTGTTTCGTCCTAGTTATTTTGGGAATCATCGGCAGTACGCACCCACTGAGATTCGAACCCAGGACCTTCCGGTTACAAGGCAAGCTCGTATACCATTCAGCTCATGAATTCTAACTTCTACGTCCCAGTAGCTGAATGGTATTCGAGCGTGCCTTGTAACCGGAAGGTCCTGGGTTCGAATCCCAGTGGGTGCGTACTGCCAATGATTCTCAAAATAACTAGGCTGGCGAAACAGGTGACTGTCCAATACTCCGTGTGGCTGGTTTTCAATGGTTCTCTAACTGATATCAATCCATGATCAACTCGTAAAAACATAACTAACCCTTACAAACTAAACTATAGAAAACAGCACAGTGCTGCATCCTACTGATTGGTTAAATACCAGTGATATAAAGCTGTTTTTTTATTCCTTTACGTTCCCCATGAAACATAGGGAGGGCTTCAAGATAGAGGCTTGAAGTTTTTGTAGTAGTGGTGTTCATTTTTACAGGATAGGGGTGCTAGCCTCATGCCGCCTAACCTTCCCTCTTTACCAGTCTTATTACTGGCTTAGCGAAGTAATGGAGGAGTGCGTCGGTGGCGTCCGGGGATCGAACCCCGGACCACATTAGGCATGGTTGGCGAGCATTCTACCGCTGTGCCATCGACGCACGATATCAAGCAGTAATGCTTACTAGCCATACCGAAGTGATCTAAACACCAGACAGCAGTTACTCTCGTTTGAGGCGGAGTTCATCAACGATGTACTAGATTCGACTTATCAGTTCAAACCAACTGAGTTTTGGTGAACAACTACTACTGTTTGATATGAGTAGTATCCAACTACTGATATCAGTCTATCAGTAGTATTTTCACATTAATTTGTTTATTATATATATATATATAATAACACAGTGAAACAGTATTAGTTACTGGATGATGTTTCGAACATAATCTGTTCTTCATAATCACATTATCAGTTATAACTACACAACTTTGAGACTTCACGATTATAGTTTTCTTCATTCCTGCCAAAGCGAAGCGAAGAAGCATCAAAGATAGGACTTCAGGTGAACATAAAGAAGACAGAGATAATGAAGATTCCTGGACAAGAACAACGACAACAGACAACGATCAGCATAAATGGGAGGAACCTGAAAGAAACAACCTCCTTCACCAACCGACCTGGGAAGCATTGTTTCAACTACAGGCGGAACTGACGAGGATATCAAACCAAGAATTGGAAAAGCAAGACAAGCTTTCATTACTCTCAAGTCTGTGGGGAGGTCAACAGCACTCAGCATGAAAATGAAAATAAGATCTGGATTTTCAACTCCAATGTGAAGTCAGTCAGTGCTACTATACGGATCAGAGACTTGCACTGCGCGTCATAAAGAGCATCTCAAACAAACTACAGACCTTCATCAACAGCTGACTTCGCTCAATACTCAAGATCAGATGGCCAGAAAGGATCATCAATGGGGACCTCTGGGAGCGAACCAACCAGGAACTGATTGTGAAACAAATAGGCATGAAGAAATGGAGATGGATTGACTGAGGAAACCATCAAGTGACATCACTAGACAAGCCATTGCTCAAGTGGAACCCGGAAGGGAAGCGGTGAGTTGGTCGTCAGTGCAAGAGTGACTTGGAGGAGGTCATGTAAAGAGGAGATGAAAGCATGTGGGCAGACTTGGATCCAGGTGAAGACTCTATCAGAGAACCGAACGCAATGGAGACGTGGTTGGCTGAAGCTCTATGTTCCTCTAGGAATTAAAGGAGACAATAATAATAATAATCATTCCTGCCAATTAGCAGTTGGGGTAGTAGAATGTTCTGGATATCCGGGACAGGTGTTAATTCATTTGTGTTACATGTATTCGCTTCACTTGATTTGATAAATAAAGCTGTCGTTATCAACCTCTCCCTCCATCGTGTTATGTTGAATTTGAAAACTGTCATCTTATCCCATCCAGCCTAATGTATGGTTGTGTGTAATTGCATGTAGTGAATGCTATAGCTGCTGAGCTATTCTCTAGATTTCTTATCTTATTCGGGTTAACTAACCTAGATTTTACCAGGTTTTTGTGCTCTACTAGTCTGACCAATCCCTTTCTACTACTGTGACTTAGAGCTTCAGCCACTCACGTCTCCAATGCGTTCGGTTCTCCACCAACGTTTTCACCTGGCCCCACCTCAGCCCATATGGTTTCATCTTCTCCTATTCATATCACCTCCTCCACTCCTATGTGAACCCACTCTGGCACTGACAAACAACTCGCCGCTTCCCATTCGAGTTCCACTCGACTGATGTCCTGGCGTGTGATGTCACTCACTTGATGGTGGTTTGTTTGGCTTCCAAGAGTATGGCCTCCAATCCACCTACCTCAATTTCTTCCTGCATATTTGTTGCACAATTGGTTCCTACTGGGTTGGTTCGTTCATTGGCAGAGATCCCTCCCTGTTTCTGATCTCTTCTGGCCAGCCATCTGATCTTGAGCGAAGTATTGAGTGAAGACAACTGTTGATGAAGGTGTGTAGTTTGTTCGAATTGCTTTCTGTGACGCGGTAAGTCTCTGATCCATATAGCAAGTATTACTTACTTCACATTGGAGTTGAAAATCCGCATATTATTTTCATTTTCATGCCAAGTGGTGCTGTTGATCTCCACATAGACTTGAGAGTAATGAAAACCTGTCATGCTTTCCCAATCCTTGCTTTGATATCCTCATCAGTTCCGTCCGCCTTAGTTGAAATGATGCTTCCCAAGTAGGTAGGTAGGTAGGTCAGTAGGTAGGTAAATGAGGTTGCTTCTCTCAGATTCCTCTCATTTATGCTGATTGTTGTCTGTTGTTGTTGTTGCTGTTTCTGTTGTCCAGGAATCTTCATCACCTACCTCTGTTTTCTCTGTCTTCATCTGAAGTCCTATAATCTCTGGATGCTTCTTCTGCCAACTTGCTGCTTTTCACTTGAATATCTTCCAGTTTGTAGGAAATCAGATATATATCATAGGAGTAATCAAGATCCTCCAAGTTTTTTATTTGGGTCCAGAGAAATTATAAATGCTTGAACATATTTTCTTCAAGATTTTCTTATTTCTTCAAGTTACAAGTGGAACAAAGAGTTTCAATCTAGAGTTATGAAATTTCGATAGTAGTTGGTGGTGTTTATTTTTACGGGATGACGTTGCTAGCCTCATGCCCAACCTTCTTTCTTTACCGAGCTTATTACCTGCTTAGCCAGGTGTAGGAATGCGTCGGCAGGGGATTGAACCCCACACCATGTGTGTGTGGTTGACGAGCATTCCATCTATTGCTAAGCCATCGACACACACGCTTTCTTCACGACGACAAGAAGTTATTGACTGACAGAAACTAAGAGTGACACAGGCCTGGAATAATGTAAGTTTTTTTAACTGTTAAGAGTTAAAAGGACTGACCATTTACAGGATAATTAGACAAAGAAAGATTTACGTTAGAAACAAATCTTAACTAGAAAGAATATAACAGTAAAATAAGTTATCTACCTATTGAGGAAGGTTTTTTCATAAAATAACAAACAACGGAGTAGTGTGAGTAATGTTCACATGATACAATAAAAGATAAAGTAAAGTTATACTATCATAGCGAAAACCACACTGACCTTTAACAACCAATCAGAATTCAGATGCAAAAAAGTTGCATAATCTTTGAAAAATGCATTGAGTATGTATAAAAATGTTTAAGCTGTAAACGCAATAGGTACTTAATTCTAAGGTTAGTAGTAAAACATTCATAATGTTAGACATTATGATTTGATATGTAATAATAGAAATTTAATGAATTTTCGGGACACGTAGGTGCGAAATCTGCTTTGTATTAATAGCGTAACTTTTCTCTTCTTACAATATCACTGTACTAGTTGGGAAAAAGTCACTGAAGTGTAAAAAAAAATTCCTCAATCATGGCGGTGGGTTAAAAGTATCGTCGGTATTTCAGAATTTTAATGCACCTAACCTTTTGCGTTTGCTACAAATATGCTAATGGTTCATCGTATTTTTCCTTATTTTCTAAAGCAGATCTCATGTCCAACCGATTCTGTTGCAATAAAACCGGAGTTTTGTGCTTACTTACTTGTGATGCACTCACACAAAGAAGCAGATAGACTTTTTCAGGCTCTTAGTTCACGTATAACCACTTTTAATAGTCGTTTGAACTCAGAGCTTACTGGTCTTCAGGAAACTAATAGCGCGTCAAACAGTCCTGGAGATTTTCCTGTCGTCCATTCCCGTAAGAATGCTAATCCAGAAGAGGGTGATGATTCTCCTTTTATCGGTAAAGGTGACGAAAGAACACAAAGTGAGTTCTTTTCTCATACATGCGTATGTCGAAATTTTGTTTTAAAACAAATTTTCGGATACACACGTTGTAGTAGTTCCTACTGTTGCTCCGTAAACAAACAATTCATGTATCTCCTGATACGAAGATGGCATTTGGCCTTGGGGAAAGTAGTACCGAGAAAGTATATTATACTAATCGAGGCACTACTCGAACTAATACAAACCTAAAGGTCTCATGTTGAGCTTTTTTCTGAAGTAATGACAACCAGTTGTTCAGGTCAGTGTTGCGCACTATCAGGTTATTTGATTATTATCGCACTGATTGTGTGACAGTGAGCTGTATCAGGAGCTGTTACATATCACGGAAAACTTTCGTTGAGTTAGAGTGTGCCGATGATACAGTCCTAGATGAAAACTGACGAAAATGTAGTCTTCTTAACGCCCTATGCAAATCTTTGGTAGAAAATCTAATTAACTTGGGTAGGGATTGCGTCCTTAGTAAATTTAAGATAATGATGATGATGATGCACAGTTGATCTGCAGCGACTCTTAATTTAGCTGTTGGGAGTAAAGTGGTTGAATGTGTTGTCGACTTAATTTATTTGGGGAATTCCACCAGCTGTGATGATCTGATTGATGACAAAATCCCAGTATGTATAGAAAATGCTAATTTAGCATTTGGCGATTCGCTTCATTTTGGGTGCTGGCCTGATATTTGACCATCAGTGAAAAAAATGTGTATACTGTGTGGCAGTTCTCTTCATCATTCTTTATGATGATATAGCTGTTAGAGGTTGGAGGTGTGAAAAGAATATGAACTTTTAATCATAATATGTACAGTAAATATGACAGTATTAGGGATTAGCTTGACTAATATGGTATCTAAAGTTCTAGGCTGAGTAATTATATGCGTAGATTAAGTGGTGTGTCTGTCTGTCTGGATTCAACATAGAACTTGGCACCGAAGTGCAGCAGTTCGAGTTGCCACGTTCCAAATAGCACACAAAGGTAGACAAGAAGATGAGTGAAGCGAATCAATAGATTTGATAGTGTGGAAAATTCCTATATTATGAATTAAAAGTCAGTCTGAACGAAGAATATTCTTTCAATAATTTCTCTTCAGGTTCTTACAATTATAAAATATAATATTTGTTGTCGTTACAATAAAGGCCAGTTATGCAGCAGATACATTTTTAACGTAGAATAACAGATTAGTTATGGGGTGTCAAAATAAATAGTCGTATTTGTGTGACAAACGTGCTAGGCTGAATTCGATTACAAAATATTGTAAAACGGGAGACAATGGTGATTAATCATAATAGATTTGTAGAGTGTGGGGTAGGAAAATTGACAAGTCAATTCAAGGTTATAAAAGGTGTCAGGTGAGTGGCTAGTACAAAGTGGTCTGTGTTAAACAGGAGATAGGAAGACTGCAATGAGAGGTTCATAATGAAATAATGAATGTGTGAAATGAGAGAGGTGGAGGCATATATTGAGAAAAGAGATAATATCACTAATAATAAGTTCGGATAGTATAAACGAAAAAAAATTCGATAGTATTGAGAGAATGTTTGCATGAAGGGCATAAATTATGACGAATAATGATAATAATAATAATAATTGTAATGATAATAATATTTGTAATAATAAGGAAAGGAAAAAGAGCCAAGAGGGTTAAGGGGAAGGAGCACTCTTGGTGAGAAGAAGAATCATCAATCCAAGTTTGTCCACGGTAGGAACAGCGTGTGGACGTGTCTCCCGTTTTACAATATTTCGTAATCGAATTCAGCCTAGCACGTTTGTCACACAAATACGACTATTTATTTTGACACCCCATAACTAATCTGTTATTCTACGTTAAAAATGTATCTGCCGCATAACTGGCCTTTATTGTAACGACAACAAATATTATATTTTATAATTGTAAGAACCTGAAGAGAAATTATTGAAAGAATATTCTTCGTTCAGAATCAATAGAGTTTTGACAAGTATAAGAGTGAAAGAGAATGAGTAATGGTAGAAAGGAATATGGAAGATTACATAGACCGAATAGATCTGCGCCATTGACAACGATTTTAAGCCATGTCACCTATTGTCTCCAGCCATTGATTCTTAGAGTCCCGAGAGCACGTGACCTAGCCATCTCAATCTATGTAACTTTATAGCCTCGTCGATTGATTTTCCCTCCTTGCCCAACACTCTACGCCTAACGTCAACATTACTTACCTTATTATACCACCTAACGTGAGAAAGAGATCGTAGACATCTATGATCAAAAACAGTCAACCTTTTCATGTCTTCAACTCGTATTGGCCATGTTTCAGAGCCATAGAGAAGGACGGAGCGAACTGCTGAGCAGTACACACGTCCCTTGGTTGATAGCCGGATGTCACGCCTACACCAGAGATGGTGTAAGTTAGCGAAAGCAGCTCGAGCTTTTTGGATCCGTGCTGAGATTTCGTCACCAATCAGTCCGTTGGTGCTGATACAACTTCCCAAATGGGTGAGGTGGTCAACATGTTCTATCACTTCACTCCCTATCACTAAGCTAGGAGTTGACGTAGTCCAGTCCTGTAGCAGCATCTTACATTTAACAGGGGCGAATCGCATGCCAAACATACGAAGATTGCTGCTCAAGGTGTTCAGAAGGCTCTGCATTTTGTCAGCATCCTCCCCTAACAGGACTATGTCATCCGCATATTCTAAGTTCATAAAACTATTCCCTGGTAACAAGTCGATACCTAAGTCGTTAGGTTCAGTTAAGGATACTTCCATTAGCATATCTATGATGAAGTTAGACAGAAATGGGGAAAGTGGACATCCTTGACGGACACCACTGGTTGTTAACAACTCAGATGACAATTCCCCATAAGCCCTTACACGGCTACGTGAGTTTGAGTAGAGTGCCTTGATTAGTGCAATGTACTTTCTTGGCACTCCCTTCATAGTCAAACATTGCCATAGTACCTTTCGATCCACGGAGTCGAAGGCCGCCTTCAAGTCAAGAAATATGGCAATTGTTGGACGCCTAAAAGTGTGTCTATGTTCTAGGATCTGTCAGAGAGTGAAGATATGATCTATGCACCCTCCACCTGGACTGAAGCCTGCTTGATTTTCCCTCGTTTGTTCCTCCCGAGTTCTGCTTAGTCTGTGCATGATTACTGAGCCTAGGATTTTAGATACTATGTTCGTCAGGCTGATTCCTCTATGATTATCACATGAGGACTTGTCTCCCTTCTTGAATATTGGTGTAATAATTGACTTACCCCAGTCTGATGGAACCGTCTCTGATTCCCAGACGTTACCTAGTACCTTAGTTAAACTATATACTAGTATGTCACCCCCATATTTAAACACCTCCGGAATAATTCCGTCGGGTCCTGCCGCTTTGCCTCGTTTCAAATTACAGATAGCTTCTGTGATCTCATTTACAGACGGCGTACCAGTGTCTATATCCCATTCGGGTGTGTGCTGGATGGCGGGGAGGTTCAGTGTGGCTGTAGGCGAGTTTAATTGTTCCTCAAAATGTTCTTTCCATCGTTCAAGGCATCTATCCTGAGAGCTAATTAAGGAGCCATTTTTCTCAGAAATAGTCTCACTTATGATTTGCCTTCTCCCACTCGTTTCTCTGATGAGTCTAAAGAGTTGCCTAGCGTTGCCTATCGCCGATGCTTTTTCCATCTCTTTCGCCGTTGTCACCCACCACTGTTCACGGTCCTTGCGGAGACTTTTCGTAAGTTTCCTTTTGTGCAGCTTTTGCTCCTCATTGAATTCGGAGCTCGCCGGAATAAGTCTTCTAGCATTTATCAGTTCGAATGAGGCAGTCGAAATCCAATGGGTTTTTACTCACCTTTGGATTTACCTAAAATCATCCCATATAATCTCACCATCAGATAAATGTGACAAAAGTTTGAGTGTTTAACATTCAATTAACAAGTTTACGATTTTCTTTTCAAATACTTATTTTCATCTGTCTTTTATTCAACATTTCACTTTTCTAGGCACTAAATCAGAAACTGACGACTTACCCACAAATGTAGACAGTGAATCTTCGATTCTTACACCATCTACAGATTAAAGGTGATCTACTCAAACGTACGAGATTCCCTACATGTGTATTTTATAAACATTTTCTTCACAAATCATCTTGTGTTTTCTGATGTTATTATCTGTATGTCATCTTTATAGATATTTACAAATATACGCGGTTTATCTCCATTTTGATTGAATTTTACTCACACTCACAATGGTATTAAGCCAGGATATTATGTGTTTATACAGTTTATCTGTCCCAAGCATGTTATGAATTGACAAAATAAAGCGACACTGTTCTTGTTCAAATTGTTATATATTCATTACTCAAGCTTCTGTTTGGCCATCACTATTCTTTTCGACTTTTAAAGTTTCTTGACTGAAGTTTTTTGACTGACACTGTATATAAGTTTTCAGTTACTATACTTTTTCATTAGTTGTAACTTAAAAACGAATGGATAAAAAAAGGCAAACAGACGACTGGTTTTTTTCATTTAATGGTTTTCCTATGTGTCTATATCTCAGTGGTTTCCCAATAAATGACCGAGGATTAACGATATTGTTTTCTTTGGCCATGAAAAGCAGGTTCCATTTTTTGTTTGAAACTTATAAGCGAAATCTACTAGAACCCAGGTAGGTGCACTGCAATGTGCTACACCATATCGCGGGGTTAAGCTCTAAAGTCTAAAATTTGTTATCAGGATAATTAGTTCATTTTAATGCACCATTTCCTATTTAGCCTGGTCGTTGACCAATTTTTTAAGAAATACAATTCTTATCTGTACAATAAACAGCAACCTATTGCACATAAATTCATTTCATCGACTCTTAATGGTTTTCTATTTCCTCATCATGGTGGTGTCTTCTCATTCAGAATTGCTTAAATTGTTAAGTAACACGTTTTATACAGCGTATATCCGCTATGCTTTAATACAAACTTGTTGTGTTAGCTTTTGTATCATGGTTCTTTAGTTCAGTAAAAGTTATCCTTCCAATTATACGAAGTGAAGGGTTATTTTTAGTTATACTTTTACCATAATGTGTCCTACCATAATTTTATTAGTAAACGATATAACTGATGTCAGTTTTGTAAGAAATGGGTGCTGTTTTTCTATTTATGCAACCACCCTCATAGTGCATAGCGTTTCGCTCCTAAATATAAGCCGTTATGGGTGTGTAGGAACGTATTCCAATTTACCAAAACTTAATTTATCTGAGAATTAAAATTGCTTTTCGCTGCAAACTCTAATATATATATATATATATATATATATATTTATCGCATTAGTCAATGAAAGTTTTGTAATTACACATCTAAGGTTCTACATTGGTAGACAGTGCTAATTGTATATGCTCTCAAGAAAGTCGAAAATGTCGATTTAAATCGTCCTAAGATTGTGCAGTACGAAGCTTTTGCCTCGGTTTCATTCATACTGATATTCGCTTACTCTGGATAATAGATTTCAGTTTTATAAGAATGCTACATGCAAATGATGCATAACTCAGGAAGTTTTATCATTCATGTGGAACAGAGTGTCGTGTTCTGTAAACTATACTTGCACCATGCAGACAACATGTACAGGTAACACACATTTGGACTAAAGTGATGAATATTTGCATCAAATATTACTTTCTGCAATACACACTTTGTTATGCGTTCCTAGGTGAATTAAGAACTACCCAATCAATCTACCGCTTTTCAAATAACATATCGCAACCTAGGCGTTTTGACTCCATTTCGTGTTTCTTTACTTGATGTTGACCAAGTCGAGTTCGAACGAATGTGTCCCTACGCATGTAGTATCAAGGCACAAGCACAGTCCCACATACGTGCACTAATCATGATAAATTTACTTGTGACCAATAAATATATAAATACTATGCCCACTGACACTCTTTCACTCAATATTACCGGTAACTGCATAAAACTTATCAAAAAGGAAGAGATTTTGTCAAAGTCATTTCCACGAACAATTTTTATTACACAGTTTCAATAAAATAACAACATTCCAGTAATAAAAGACTATTTACTTATTATCTTCACGCAAAAATGGAATTTAGTAGTTCGCTAAGATTTTTTCAACCCTGTCCAACTGACGACGAGATATATCTTCGTTAATACTGTCATCATCTTCCCAAGGCTCTTTCAATTTATCTCCTCTATCCACTTCAGCCATACTATTCGGTGCTTCCTGTAAATTCTGTTGTTTTGTCTTCTGATTCATTGGTTTATTGAAATTTTCTGTCAACTCATCACTTTCTGGTGTCTCAGATGCGTAAGGCGCATTGTTCATTGCGTTGTCATCAACAGTTTCTAGTCTGTTTGGTTCATTTTCAGTCGGAATCGAATACTGGCTTGGCAGCATTTCATTCAAATCTTCAGGTGATCCTTTATATATATATACTCCATTTCTATGTCTACAGTATTTTTTGCGTGAACTCACTGTTAACACTAAAAATATAGTGCAGTCTCCCACAACGTAATAAAATCAATTTTTAAATATCTGACCAATCAGCAGTCATTTATAGACTAAACTAAATTATGTCGAGGCAAATGAAATTTTGAACATCACTTTGACCACTGATAGACATATTGATCGCAATTCGAACGACTGAATCATTGCGAATGTGAAAATCCAGGTACGTGAGTAGAAATCATTGTTGACCAATTGAAAGGCGTTTATGGAAGTAATTTGAAAGTGGGCAGAAGTGAATACCACTTACGACGACCTTGCAAATATTTCATATATATATATAACGAATTTTCGCAAAGTTTTGTCAGTCTACCTTATAGGAAGGAATTCAAAGCATGTCTCCTGTATTACTGTTATACGCTATACTCACAATCACAACAAGCATTAATGCTATCAGTGAGAATTCTTTAAACAATCTCCAAGACCACGAGAAAGGATCACCTGAAGATTTGAATGAAATGCTGCCAAGTCAGTATTCGATTCCGACTGAAAATGAACCAAACAGACTAGAAACTGTTGATGACAACGCAATGAACAATGCGCCTTACGCATCTGAGACACCAGAAAGTGATGAGTTGACAGAAAATTTCAACAAACCAATGAATCAGAAGACAAAACAACAGAATTTACAGGAAGCACCGAATAGTATGGCTGAAGTGGATAGAGGAGATAAATTGAAAGAGCCTTGGGAAGATGATGACAGTATTAACGAAGATATATCTCGTCAGTTGGACAGGGTTGAAAAAATCTTAGCGAACTACTAAATTCCATTTGCGTGAAGATAATAAGTAAATAGTCTTTTATTACTGGAATGTTGTTATTTTATTGAAACTGTGTAATAAAAATTGTTCGTGGAAATGACTTTGACAAAATCTCTTCCTTTTTGATAAGTTTTATGCAGTTACCGGTAATATTGAGTGAAAGAGTGTCAGTGGGCATAGTATTTATATATTTATTGGTCACAAGTAAATTTATCATGATTAGTGCACGTATGTGGGACTGTGCTTGCGCCTTGATACTACATGCGTAGGGACACATTCGTTCGAACTCGACTTGGTCAACATCAAGTAAAGAAATACGAAATGGAGTCAAAACGCCTAGGTTGCGATATGTTATTTGAAAAGCGGTAGATTGATTGGGCAGTTCTTAATTCACCTAGGAACGCATAACAAAGTGTGTATTGCAGAAAGTAATATTTGATGCAAATATTCGTCACTTTAGTCCAAATGTGTGTTACCTGTACATGTTGTCTGCATGGTGCAAGTATAGTTTACAGAACACGACACTCTGTTCCACATGAATGATGAAACTTCCTGAGTTATGCATCATTTGCATGTAGCATTCTTATAAAACGGAAATCTATTATCCAGAGTAAGCGAATATCAGTATGAATGAAACCGAGGCAAAAGCTTCGTACTGCACAATCTTAGGACGATTTAAATCGACATTTTCGACTTTCTTGAGAGCATATACAATTAGCACTGTCTACCAATGTAGAACCTTAGATGTGTAATTACAAAACTTTCATTGACTAATGCGATATATATATATACATATATATAGCTGATGAGAATGTTAATATAGACGAATTGTTGCTGAAATTCAACAACATCCACCATTCGCTTACCTTTACTTGTGAAGAGGAGCAGGACAATAAACTACATTTCCTGGATGTCTTGCTAAATAAGAGAGAAGGTGGGTCACTTGGGAGAAGCGTGTATAGAAAAAGCACTTTCACAGGGCAATACACACACTTCCTTAGTTACGTGCCCATTAAATATAAAAGGAATTTTTTAAAATGTCTTGCGAGCAGAGCAAGAAAGATATGTACGGATGACCTCTTACAAAAGGAATTTGAATATATTCACGATTCCTTGATGGAGATGGGCTATCCGAGTAGTTTCATAAAGAAACATATGAAAACATCGGAGAAAAACCGGAGACTCTGACTGCACGTAAGAAACCTCTATTTATTAAGTTACAATTTAATGGTGACTTATCAAGTGAGATTCTATTCCAGAGACTTTCAAGGAGTATACGAAGAACATTTTATGCAGCACACCTATGTTTGTCATTCTCTAGCCGACGAATGAGTGGGACGCAAACGAAGGATAAGCTTGATAGTTTTGCCACATCTATGTGTATTTATCAATTCAACTGCACCTGCGGTGACAGTTATATTGGGCGTACTACTAGACAGCTTAGCCAACGTGTTAGTGAACATCTCCCATCGTGGTTTGGCAAAGGACAGACGAAAACAATCCGTAGCTCAGTTTTGTCACACTTAATCGATGGTGGTCATGTAATCGAGAAAACGAGAGCGTTCAAAGTGATTCATCGTATCCCACCGAATCTTTCCAATAGACTTCGTATTCGTCTACTACACACAGCTGAGGCAATAGGCATTCGAACTATTAAACCTAAATTATGTATTCAAAAAAGTTCGTACAGCCTTTATCCCTCCCTAGGGCTATTAAGATGTAACCAACCAATAACTTCTACACCACCCTTTGTTTGTATTTTCATCCCCTTACTTATCATCCCTTAATCTTATCTTCATTATAAACGTGTTTCATTTCCTTCCCTTACAATCTAACATTACTTAATCGGTTCATTTGTTTTTACTAGCCTTTATCGACTACTTCCACCTGAACAGTTGTTTGTTTAATCATGCTGTTTTTCATTATTCGTGTTATCACAGATTGCCTCACTTTTTCATCCTTATTAGTGATAAGACCATTTCTATTATTACTATAATTATTATTATCATTACTACTATTATGACTAATTGCACAATTTATATTCACCATCGTATTATCCTATAGACAAAACACCATGATTGGTTTATATTTGAATTTTTATTTGTAAACTTATATATATATTAGAGTTAAGCCTGATGAGATCTAATTGAAAACAATATTCCAGGATTTTCATCATGAGCTGACATTAGTTAGAGAACCATTGGAAAACCTGGGAGTACTGGACAGCTGTTTCGTCCTAGTTTGGGACTCTTCATCAGTACGCACCCACCGGTTCTCTAACTAATGTCAGCTCATGATGAAAATCCTGAAACCAATCAAATCCCTACAAACCAACACTTGAAAACAATATTGTTCGCTTAAATATGTTCTTCTAAATAACACTATATATTTGTCGCTTATGTGTTGTAAGAATGTTTCCCAGTCAATACACAGATGATGTATAGAGGAATTGTACCATGAGCGATATACTCATCCATCTTGGTGACTGTAGGACATGGCACTTCGAGATCCATTGCTATTTCTGACACTATTCTTCAACCTATCCCTAACTCTAAGCATAATTCTAACTTCTGACCCTAAATTTAACCCTTAACCTTAATCTAAAAAGCTGTAACCTTACCTAACGCCATAGATTTGCGGAAAAAGTACGTAGTGAATTAGTAGAACACTAGCTAACCTCTCCAAGTTCAAAAAGGCAGGCAAGATTTGATTTGGAATGATATTTTTTATAGCATTCCCTGTATCTAATCAGAGCTTGGAGATCAATTTGTGAAACACCTTGACTTTGGCTATGACACTATGATATAGAAGAATACATGACGTAATAAGAATTGCATACCTTTGTTTTGTAAGTTTAATCACTAAGGTAGTGTAAATTTGGCCACTGCCTATTTCTGCATACATGAATTTGGTTTTAACCGCTTGATAGCGATTACCTTACTAAAACGTATCAAGCTACGCTTCTTTTCAAGTATTGGTTTTTAGGGATTCAATTGACTGGTTACAGGATTTCACGATGAGCTGACATCGGTTAGACGAACATTTGAAAACCAGCCACAGGGAGTACTGGACAGCCAGTTGTTTCGTCGGCCTAGTTTGGCAATCTTCAACAGTACGCACCCACCGCCAGGGTTCGAACCCACGACCTTCTGGTTACAAGGCGAGCTCGTAGGGACTGGTCCTGTTAAGGCAGGTAGTTACCTGGGTTCTAGTGGGAAGTCGTGACTAGTAGGGTGCAGCAGGTCGGGTGTAAGGACGAATACTCGCCACCGATGACATTGGGTAGTGGTCGCGCCATGTCGTTAATTGGCAGGAGTTGAAATTAACGGGCTGGCCATTGGATTGGGTCCCAGTGGCTGATGATGGTCGACGAGCTCACTTGCGCTGTAACCAGAAGGTGCTGGGTTCGGACACCTGTGGTGGGTGCGTGCTGCTGAAGAGTTCAAAAGTGGGCTGACGAAACAGCTGACTGTCCAGTACTCCCTGTGGCTGGTTTTTCAATGGTTCTCTAACTGATGTCAGCTTATGATGAAATCCTATAACTACGTGTCTTTTGTTTGTTGATTATTGAGAACACCTTCAGACTATCTACACCATGACTAATGTCCGATATATGGGACGCAGTAATACTGTTTCATGTTTATGAGCCTTTTAGTCTTAGGTTCAGAAATGTGGATAATATCCCTTCATATGTATGTGCTATGACATGCACATGTTAAAGGTAACATGAAGTGGGAGTTTCTTCACTTTTGGCTGTCTTAAAAAACTGTTTATTTGTTCTTTACAATGTGATATAGATTCTTCCCCTATTCTACAGACGAAGGCTAGTTGTAGAAAGAAAAACGGTTTCTTCATTGTGATGCAGTCCACCTTTTACAAGTTTGGTCACAGATTGATACCAGTTAGAGTACTGGACGACTGTTTCGTCCTAGTTTGGGACTCTTCACAATACGCTCCCAATGGGTTCGAACCCAGGACCTTCCGCCTGTAAGGCGAGCTTGTAGACCATCCAAACACTGGGACTCAGTTTAACAACCCATAAATCCCAACTTCTACCAATTCGACATTTTAGCGTGACCACCAGTCAGTGTCATTGGCAAGTATTTGTCCTCACTCCCGACTGGGTGAACCCAACTGGTCATGTCGTCTCAACAGAACTCCAAGCAGCTTCATCCTATAGCCAGCCACTAGACAGCATCAGATTTATTAATAAGGATTTCATTTGTTTGTGATCTAATGGTCCTGGATTTGAACCTCGGTGGGTACGTACTGCTAAAATGTCCCAAACTAGGACGAAACAGCTGAAACAAATAAAATCCCTGCAAGCTTACTTTTGAAAATTAAAATTTTTATGTTTTATCCACAAAGTAATAAAACAAAATGAGCTCATTATTATCCTGGTAGATTTTTCATCCCTACTTTGTTAAAGTTTACTCAGAACTTACACGTAATTCCTTGCAGTTGGCAGTGAAATACACCTATTGTATGAGAGTAAAGGATATTCCCTTGTTGTTCAAAACCTCTGATCCCTCTGGTTGGCAGCCTAAAGATTAGGTGAAATAAGCCACAAACCCACCTCTGTCGTAATAAGTGCCTCCAAAAATCACACATCTGGTGACACAATGCTGCCTTCAATCGAAGTTGATTGAATGAAAAGGCAAGATGAATCTCCCTAAATGTCTCGTACCATTAAAACTATCACTTTCATACATAAAGACTCATTTACGCAGAGATTTTTTTTGAAATTTAACAAAAGAATGGTTACTGAACAAAGAATATTCTTCTCGATAACTCCTTCTTCGTCAAGTTCTACAGTTATATATACATAATAGTGAATGAATGAATTAGTGTTATTAACAACATTAATGTTGTTTAAATAACATCGAATCAATAATAATACTAATATCAATAGATTACAGTTCAACAGCATCAACATAACAATGCACTGAGTATCAGACAGACAAATTAGGAAAGATGATAATACAGAATTCATGAATTTATAGTCTCCACTGAAGGCCTGCCAGGGCTGTAGTAGTAGTAAATGGCTGGACTTGCTTCTTTTGCACACAGAGTACTGGTTGTTTCAGGCGAATCACAATAACCTCTG